CTTTTGTGTTTACAGGTAAGAGATACTATTTTCTTTATTTCAGAGAGGGCAGATTAATAGCCTGATTTTTCCAATCCAATGCAATGAGATCATTAAGAGAGCTGAGGCTATCTTAGCCCCACATGAACCTGACTCTCCTTTGAGATTTATTCCTGTAAACTGACAGCCACAAGCTCCAAATCATGAAGCTGAAGTGCACAAAAAAATCTTTTTACTGTATTAAGGAGCAACTTGCATAATACTAAGTTTCTAAGATTTCTATTCCTAATTTTATCATGGCCTTTTTTTTTAAGATTTTGTCATGCAGTAAGTAGAGCAGAGTCACATCTTTGCATCTTGTGATGAGGTATGAAATCAGCTGAGTCCTAGTGTGAAAAAAGGAAACAAAGCGTTTCTAGTTCACTCCAAACACTTATTTTAATTGTAGTTCATTTAATTCATCATGGGCCTGTCAGATTTGAGGCAACACAATAAACAGACTTTCAGAGATGCTGTTGGCTCTAAGCATGACTCCTTTTTACTGAAACAATTTTTAGTTCTGTTTGTTTGCTACAGGATATTTTCCTTGATGTTGTTTTTGTGCTGACTGAGACTTGGCAATGTTTCCCACTGGAATGTAGCACTGTCGTGTCAGGTCAGAAGGGAAAATGCCAGTCGGTGTTTCCCAGTGGTTGTACACACATTATGTTTTGTCCTTTCATTGAACTCAGCCTTCATTCCTGAGAAAGAACTGTTATTTTAGCTTGCATCACTGCAGATATTATCAGTTATAAACATATGCAGCTTTTTGTAGGTTTTATGTTCAACAAAGAAAAATGTATATTAATCTTGTCATAAAATATTATCAGCTCTTACTTTCCAGAGCCAATCTTCCTTTTTATTCCTCCCTTTCTTCCCTCCTTCTTCCCTTCTTTCCTTCTTCTGTCTATCCTCTCATATTGGATTTTTTCATGGGATAGGCATAGGGGGAGGGAGGTAACAGTATGGCCTAGACCTTGGACCAGATTTATACTAAGCTTTGACAGTGATTGCCTGTATAACTAGTTCAAGTAAAGCCCTCTTGTGTCTTTTTTTTCTCTAAAATAGAGATGAATAATTCTTACCTTTTTCTGTAAACCCTTTAAAAAATATCTGTTTAAAAAATCTATTATAATCATTTTTTCTAGAATCCCTCCAACTGGTGTTTAGAACCTTTTAGAGAATGAGAGAGTAGGATTAATTCATTCTTTTGATTTTACTTTGAATCTCAGCCTTTTGAATGACAGAAATGCAATGCCCATTACCTTGGAGATGGACACATCTGCAAATCTGCTAGAGTTAAGTAACAGAGTACTTGCTTGCACAAGCTGTAATTTAAAGGTTGAAAAATCTTGCATCATCCCTGAAATATAAAACCACAGATGCTCAGTTTCCCAACACTGCATTTTACACAGCTCTGGGATAGCTTCCTAAGTAATTCCTTACACAGTAATGTTTAGTCCTTTTGAAGGGAAATTATCTAATTCAGTGTATCTTTTATTTCATTATGAATTGGTCTGAATAAAGACAAATTTAAAACTATGAATATACCTCTCGTTTTGTTTGATTTCTGAAATGTCATTGGGAAATGAACTTTCTCCATTACAAAACAATTTCCCTTTCACAAGTCTTTGTCTAAGCACTTTTTAAGCCCTTTGTGCTTAGCTAGTGCTATAATATCACAGGTCTCTGGCTGCAATAGCCTGTGGATTTATACCAGAGATGAGATGCTATAGACCTTTAAACCCCTGCCATAATCATGAGGTTTTTAATTCTTTCTGAATTTTCCTTTAAATTCTATTAGACAGAAAGGTCCAGATATGAAACTGAGTCACACATCTCAGTTCTTGATGCATGATCTTGATGTGATTACACTTTGATTTCAAACTCTTATGTAATTTTTCCTGTGAGTGAAATAAATTTTCTGTAGCAAATAAAAGAGAGTTGATTATTATTTATTCTCATCATGTTACAATAGTGCTATTTGAGTCTGATCTAGAGCAGAGTGGCTCCTTCAGGGGGATGGGGGATACAGCTGGGATGCAGTTCAAGCTGGAGCCCCACATTATATTGAATGGACACACGCCTTTCTATACGCCTACCCCCACAAGCTTGGGACCTTCAGTTTTTGGTGGGGGTAAAGAAGGAAGGTAAACCACGTCCCTCCACCCAGCTTTACAAAAAAAACCTGTCATTGGTTTGGAAGCCTCCTGGATCAAGCACCAATTTCTCCACGACTTGGCCATTTTTATTTTCTCTCCTCTGCCCAAGGTAAACAGCTACACTTTTATTTAGGTACCAAAGCAAAGTCTTGACTGTTGAGTGACTTGAAGACGAAACGCAACTAACTTTCATTTGGATGGCAAAGGCTGGGCCTATGCCTTCTGAAATTTAGCTTACAACTGGAAATCGTCTTCTCCTTTGCTATATTTTGCAGTGAAGTCATAATTGTGTGTTTGGCATTAGTCTGTTGCCATGGATAGTAGGAATCAGGGTACGACGTGATGACATTAAAAGGTCACTTCAATCTCTAATGGCTGTGGTTAGGGGAATGACTAATGACATTGAACTGCTACAAACGTAGAGCTGGAGCAACATGATGAACTGTGTCTGACTCTTGTTTAAGCATAAATATGTCTGAGATTTAGAAGAAACAATGACAGAACCATATAAAAAAGTGAATGGGTTTATTTTTCATTTTGTTCTTTTTCTTTTGAGTGATATTGCATGCATGGTCATTGGATGGGGTCATTTCACTTGTATAAAAATAGACATTAGGAAAAAATATCAATAAATGTTATTTCTGGTATAAATCTATGATCACATTTTAACTGTTATTGCTAAATAATATTTTGGAGGGGGATGATTTCGACCAGTAATGATCACTGTTTTTGTTTTCCTAGAAATATTTCCAGACTGTCTTTAACACGTGACTCTTCTTGTAAGGTCATAGGAATGAAGGGATAATGTTTATTTTCAGAAGTGCATATTTGAAGTGTCTCACTGAAACGTCGTTGTTTGTGCTTGGTTTGGGACAGTTCGGTTTGATCTGGCAGAAGAACATTACTGAGTCATTCTGAGTTGTTAACACAGCCCTGATGGTTATGTCAGAAACTCTTTGGGGGGTGCAGATGGAGCACATATTTCTACTACAGCAAAAACTGCTAAAAGAAAAAGAAGCCCAGAATATGTCAGTCTTGAAGGCTGTTTTGCAGAGTATCTGTATAGCTCTAACACGTACATTTTATTTACTCATGCAGTTTGACATGAAAATAAAAAAGATATAAAGCCTTCCCACCATCCAAAACCTTCCCCTTCCTCCTCTCCTTTGCTACATTTACACTGCTAAAAGAAGAGGGCTAAGGACCAATTCCCAACCCCATGTTGCTACAGTCTGGCTCATGTCCCCCTGGCCTGTGGCTTGTTGCTTCTCTAGCAGATTTGCTTTGGAGACAGGTAGGTAGTGTGATCCACAGTGGATCCATGTAGAGAAGAAAAGTTAGGCAACACAGATCATGGAGAATCTTGAGTAAGAGCTCACTGTGTACCCTTAATTATTAGCAGTGAGGAGATACCTTTTGAGACTAATTTAGTGCCAGGTCAGTAGATAAATGAATGAAATGCAATTCCACAGTGATAAAAAGCCATCTCAAAATGGTATCAGGATGCACTGGCCAGCATGTGTTAGTGTAAGGCTACCCTTGAAAACCCTTTGGCAGTGAAGACAGATTTTGTAGTGTGGTAACATCTGTAGTGGGACTTTCTTCCCAACAGTGGGGAAGAGGAAATTGCTTTTGTTTTCTCAGTTCTGCAAACAGTGGGAACTCTTCAGTCCCTTTTCCACCTTCCCTGCTGTTAGTAGCTTGACACCTGCTAGGGGCACTGCATTCTGAGAAGAAGTTTAGGTATCCCATGGTGCTCTTCCTGTCCATCCTTGCAGCTTCTTTGTAAAGTAGTGAAATGCTTTTGTTTCTAAAGGAGGACCACAAGTTACTTGAGAATGTCCTTTGAAAACAGGGAATAATCAAACATAAATATTCATTTTGTTTCTAAAACTTCTGTTCATGAATGGAGATTTACCACTGTCAGCTCCACTAAGGAGTGGAAGTAATGCATCTCACAGTTAGGGGACTTCCCCAGGAGACAGTAGAGAATAAGAATAAAAATCTATATCTTCCCCTGCCTAATCCTTTGCATTAATCACACATCTCCCCTCTGGATTAAGAGTACATGGACATTCTGAGGCAGTTGCCCTTCGTTTGCAGAAGGAGAATAAACAAAGGAAGAGTAAATCCTTTCTTTAATCTCAAGTTCAGATATAATTTTTTTCCCAATAATAAGAAGCTGTCTTCTGAGGGTGCACAACTGCACCATTGGATCATCTGTCTTGCGTCTTGGCACATGCTACAATTGGTCAAAGCAGAAGCGTTTGTTTAAAGCAAGAGAGAAACAGGGTGGCAGAGCATCTAGAGTTGGATAGAGAGCCATAAAGCAATGAAGAACCACAATACCCAAACTGTATCATTTTTTTTTTTGCAGCAGTTTGCCAGTGCACTAAATAGCAAGGTAGATCAAGTGACACAGTTATGAAATAGTTTATTCAACATTCCCCCCATTTTTTTTTCTCTCATTCAACATTCCCCCCCTTTTTTTTTCTCTCACAAATTTCTTATGCAGATTTTGTCCATGTAGATTTTTTTTCAGCATCCGTTTCTGTAGATAATCAGTCCAACCACCAGGGGGTGTTTGCCAACATTTATTTTGCCTGCTAGGCAAATTTCAACTCTATTATTAAATAAGCAGCGAATAAACCTAGACACTCTGTTCATAAGTAATGATTCTTACAATGAAGCAGATTCTATTCGTGCTAGCTCTGCTTTTATGTGAATATAACTTTGAATCAAACAATAACTTTTTCATAGTATTTTTACAAGTGATTAATTCATTTCATACCATCAAATAGTACAAGAGTAAGCAAACATTCTCGATTCAAAAGAAATCATTGAAATATATGGTTTTAGGCACCTGGTTCTTTTTTGGGAACCTGAGGTCTAAAGTATCGCTTGTGAGCAATCATCAGTATCAGAAATCTTCCCATGATTTATTAATGCCTTGCTAAAAAGCTCTAATGTAACTGTCCAGCACTGTTTTCTTTTTTTCTATAGGGAGAAGAATATCCCAAGCACTGTCATCATCATCTGGCTTGTGTCCAATAATTCAAAATTAATTTAAGCGGCCAAGAACTGGATGTTATTTTCTCTCATATGTCAGGAGACGAGGCAATAAAATGAAACCAATCAGTCAAACTGTAGCAGCTCTTTACTCTGTAATAGTGGGAGGAGAGGGTGAGATCACCAGATCTGCAAAGCTGAAGTGACCAGCTGACTTCTTTGTCTGCTAGTCTGCATGCTCTCCACTACCAAAGCAAGAGAGGAGATATTTCTCCCCATTACTTTGCAAACAAGCGGCTTTCACGTATAGCAACTCTGCACAATGAAGCTACGTGACACAGTGACAGTCCTCCTGAAGCCAGTTTCTGCCTCCATAATTTTATTTCTTTTTACATCACACCTGTGGAAAGAAACAGCTTAGTTAATGAGAAGAGTGAAGCATAGCTTTAATTCTCATGGTTAGGAATATGAGCAAGGCCCCTGAGACCACTGGAAGTAATTACGTTATATTCCCTTCTGGTTTAGCTACTGGGGCTGGCTTTGTTCACAGCAGATGTTACAAGAATTTCTTGCCATCTTTAAGACTGGCGCTTGCACTTTTTGGCTTGAAATGGTTTAGGATGTGTCATTTAAATTGTGAAGAATGGATGAAGGCATATATTATTTCTATGAAAGAAAAAATCCCACCGTCTGAAGTCAAATTTTCCATTTTTTCTATTAATGTATTAAAATACCATAGGTCCATAATGCATTTTAATGGACTAATTGATTTTCTGATTTCTTTATTCAAGACCAAAAGCAGGCTATTTCAATTTATATATAGTATGTGTGCTTATAATTAGGGTTTAATCTTCTTTAGAGACATTGAAGACACGGTACAGGTGGTTAATGCAAAACACTATGAACACAAAGCAGTTACAGGCTTCTGTATATTTGGTGTAGGAAGATGAGATTTCATTTTTCACATGCCAAATAAATAGGCATATATTCAAAGCACAGCTATAAGAAGACGCGTTATCAGTCAAAATCCAACTTGGTTTTAGATTGTTGTTTTATACAATGAAAGAGAAGCTGTGTCTACTTGTAACTGGAATTCTGTTCTGATTTCTTCAGTACTTTGAGGAAACGCCAGTAAATAAGAGCTCCTCAATAGTTCCCTTCATTCCGTTTGGGAAGGGAAATGTTTTTATGTACCTCAAGTTAAAAAGGGCAGAGAGATGCTTAACGTAGTTATTCTGAATTAAGATTAAAATGCTGCTTGCTAGCTGATGGCTTGTTTTAGTAACAATTATTCTGAGTACATGATAATACTTGTTAGTGACTGCATGTGCTTTAAGCTCTCCACTCCTTGATATGTTCTTGAACTTTTGCCATTTTGCAAGGGGCATTGAATCAAAGGTTTTGATGGGATGATGAAGAACTGACATTAATAAAATTAACATGTCCTGAATTACTATCCGAGAATCACAGACTCACTGGCAGTATTTGTTTCGTAGAATTACAGTCATCACTGACATTAAATAGACACTGTTGTCTTACTAAAATGTTGTTAAAATTGCTACTTAATAATTCACTATGCTTTTATTATCAAGTGTGCTAAATATTCTAAAATATTGTTGGTTATGAACTAGTTTGATGGGAAATTATTGTGCCAACCTAATATATTAATGTATAAGTGGTATTTTCAGTACTGTCCACTGAGTATTCTCAGATGCTATTTTATTTGGTTGTACAATATTGTCATAGCTTATGCTATCCAAGAATCACTTGTAATAATATTATTCAGTTCATCAGTCTAGTTAAATAACCTAAAAGATATTTGACGTGGTGGCTGAATAAAATACAAGTAGTTATTCTGTGCATGCATGCATACATCTGTGCATACAGAGCTCAAAATAAATTACTTTCAGTGCCTTTTAGTTATGAAGATGAGGACCAGCTTCCAAAAGCTAAGCAAACTATGCAGATAAACCACTTCTGCTTGTACTTATGAAAGTATCTTCGAAGCAGCAGCTCTGCATCTAAGATGCTTATGTTTTAATCAAGGGCTGTCAAACTCTTTGACAACTAAGGGAGAGATTACTTTACAGCTGTTTACTCTAAGATCCAATGGCAAATACATTTTACAGTGTTAAAAGATGATGGAAAATTAGCTGAGGACCATTTGAGAATTCTTCCATGGCCTAGCAGTTTGAGGGCCTGATTTGAGTAATAAGCAGATTTTGTTATGCCTTGCATACAGATTCTGCAAATAACTGTTACAGATGCAGTATTGCTGCTAAGAACAAGTTTTCTATTATCTGTGAAAAAGCAGAATGTATTTGCACTGTCTAATAAATTATAATATTATCCACTTTATCTAAAAAAACACGTTCTAACATAAAATTCAGAGCAGTTCAATGGCTTTTGCAGGATGTCAGGGTAAAGATCAAAATGTTCTCTTTCATGGTTGTGATTCTACAGTCTTGTACAGACAAAACCCCACAGATTCATTAGTGGATAAGCAGGTGACACTATGGAGAAATCCTGTCTTCACTGGAGTCAGCCTTCTTATTTCTTTAATTCCATGTCCACATTTGTCCTTGAATATTCTTACAAACATGTTGAAAGCTGGATTTATGTCTGTATGTTCAGTTTATTGCAGATAGCAGGATTAGATAGAGTCTGCAAAGAATATGTCAGTGTATGTCTGTTTCTGTCTATAACTAGCTTATTTTCATACATTTGAAAGAAATATTCCTGATGTCTTCTGTTGCAAAAGCCCAGTTCCAGTTTGTCTATGGAATATATTCCTTTAAAATTTTACATATGCAATTCCATTTTTACAGTGGCAATTAGTAGCTTCAGTGAATGAATACAGAATCCTGCTGGTCATGTGTTTAAAATCCAGTCTGTCTGCAGAAGATATTCTACACTGCCAAGATTTGTAATGAGTGATATCAACCCAGGAGAGCAAATTACTATCCACATAATGAATAGCATGAAGACATGCTCTAAAATACTCAGCTGAATGACTTCAATGCAGTAATTTACCTGGGAAAAAAAAATAGTGTGTAAGGATTTGAGATTACCCTATTACCTGGAATTTAACTTGACCAAACCAGAATATAAATACAGTCTGAGGTAACAGTGGGAACAGGACAAGGAAATTTGTCATGAGGGGTTTTCTGCTAGAAGAAACTGTCTGGAAGCAAAAATGGGAGAAGATGCAAAGTGGCCAAAAGAGTAAGATGGAGAGGAAGAAAATGGACTCTGTGGGAAGCCTCCTCCAAAGTGGTGCGCAGTTCCTTGGGACAATGCCATTACTCTGTTGAGATAGATAGGATTTTGCTCTTGGCTTTAGAGCAGCCAGGATCTCACTCTTGATGCTTATCACTCATGCTTGACCTTGCAGGCAAGGAAGTCATTGCAATTTAGAGTGCCTCAAAAAATAGCCTGTGTCACATGCCTATTGGGCTCAGTATGAAGACAGTCTTTATGTGTCAGAAAGGCGGATATATTTATAGCATCTGAAGATCATCAAAGTCAGATTTCTGTATCAGATCACTTTGTTTACAGAGCAGGAGGAAAGCTAGGCATGTCTGGATTTATCCTACATGTTGACTCACAACTATCCTATTCGAAGCCAAAACCACTCCTAGTAACACTTTCAGTCACCAACAGCAACTGCCAGCAAGACAGATAGAGAACAGCAGAGGCTAACTTTCGGTCAGCTCTCACCTGAAATTCAAATCTTGGTAGAAGAGGGATTTTAGCTAAGTAAGAAGTAGTAACCAGAGGCACATTAGGAGTCCTCTACTGAGTGGTCAATACCTTAGCAGCTTTATAAGCAGTGGAAGTTTTTGCATCTGGAAAGCTCTTCCGAGATACTCTTCAGTGCCAAAATTGGTAAGTCCATATTATAGCAATAAGCTTACCTGTGGAACTTGGAAATGGAAACTAATTTGAAATAAATTTTTTAAAACAAAAGAACTTTTGTGTTTGACTTCAGTGTTTTCATAAAATCATAGAATCAAATAGATTGAAACTGACCTTTAAGATCATCAAGTCCAACTGTTACCCCAGGACTTTTCCATATAACCTCTGACTAATTTATAAGTAACATTTCCCCTGAATTTCTGCCATCTGTAATCTCAGCTCTGATGTCCTGAAATGTTCTTTTCTCTTCTCCTTTCAGCACTGATGCGTAACTTCTTTAAGTTGGCATCAGGACACTATTCAGTTGCGTAGCTAGACTGTACTAAAAAGTCCAATGGTTATAAAATCCAGTTCCTACATACTTATCAGAGTTGAAATAACAGGACAAATCAAAGACATGATGGTGTTTCAAGGAGAAATAATACTGACCGTACACTAGAACCTGGTTTCTTAAAGTTGTGTTGCCATTCTTCATTTAGCAACTGATATATTTTATTTATGAGTTCATTACCTTTCAGTTGTAAGTGAAAGATGACTGACATTGTTTTATTGTATTGCAAGATTTCCATGCTATTTAACACATGCTTTCTCTTCTAGAAAATGATCTTAATGATAAGAATTGAGACCATCTTGTGAGGGACAAAGAACTAAGACACTATCTGCTCTACAGGTTTTATTACTATTACTGCTCTACGTTTAATTCAATGGCAACGGGAACTGAATCCTAAAACCCCTCCAAACCAGAAGGTTTTACTTTATAATTGCATTTATATATTGCCCTATCTAAGCTTCCTTACACTCATCACACACACTTTCTGCAGGAATACAGACAATAGCCCTTGTGCACCTATTTGATATTTACTCTCTGAGTTTAGCTCAGCATTTGTTCCTTCCTACAGAGTTTACAAAATGTGCTCTAAGTCATTAAATCTAACATAGCGAATATACCTACCCAGTAGATAGAAGGTTCTATTTACTTGGATCCGGAACAATAGGCTTTGTTACTCCCCAGGCTTCAACAGGTTTCAAGTTCATTTAAGATTTTGACTTGCATTCCACCAGTATGAATACTAGCTTTGGCATCCAAACCATTTGACTAAGTTGCCTCAGGCAGTTGAAATCTGTTTCAAACTGTTTGTAAAACTGGCCTGTGAATCTAGTATCTGCCCTCTTATTGCCTTTAAAGGTGGGCAAAGAGGCAGAACTTGGGTCAACATGCAGAATGAAATAAGTTATTGGTGGTCACCAATGTCTTAACTAAAAAATTAAGAAGAATCTGGAAGAAGTGAAAATATTGCAGGAAACCCATCACCTTGTTATGTATTAATTATTGGTATAAATAGAGTATCAATCATGAAATGAAACAGCATATCATGAACTCTAAATAAAACTAGAGATGTCCCATGCTACTAACACAGCTTCTTAACCCAGACCTGTCAAGCTCTGTGGACAGTACCAAAAGTGGTGGGGGATGACTAGGTCAGCCTCTTTTGAGGCTGTATGAGTCTTGACTGTATCTTTTCATATGAATGGTCTTACACTAAGATTAATCATTTCTTGGAAGTAAGATGAGAATGCTGGGATGTCCCATCCTGACCACGCATGCTTGGGCCAGCATTGCTCTTGTGCGACTCAGTTCTGTTTTGTGGTTTCCAGTGTAGTGCTGCATCATCCCTCCTTACTTCTATTGGGATATTGCTGCAGATGCATTCTGCATATGGATTTGTCTGGAGTTTTCCACAAACAACATGATATCTAAAAGATGGCTACCATCCAAAGCTAAATATCATTGCAGTTATCTTTCTTGAGCTATAAATAAATAAATAAATAGATGAATAAATAATTTCTATATCCAGGGACTGGGTTATACAGAGAAGTAAAATTAGGGTGACTTTTCTAGCTGTACTTTCCTTGTTGCATAAGCATTCAGCAAATGAGCGGAAAGCATTCATTTATATTTTCACTATTTTCTTTATTTACAACCTATGACAAGCAAATGGCAGCAGACAAAAGCAGCTCAGTCTGAACATATGTTCAGCCCAAAGTGTTTCTAAACTGGAATAGCAATAGAGGAAAAATTGCTATATGGCTAATTCAGGTACAAATTTCCACTGAAATACTTGAATAACAATCAATAGAAATATATCTGAGCACTCTGAATACATGTATCGCAACATTTAAAGCAAGTCAGAAAGCAAAGAAAATTTAAAAATCAACTTTAAGAACACTAAGGAGAATATTTTCTCATATTCTTGTATGCAAGAAATGACAATCGATGTCCCCAGTAAAATGAAGCAGATTTAAGCTGCCATTTCTCTCTTCTGCGATGTGTGCTGCAGAAAGCTCTTCCATTTGTTGTTGAAGATTTCGTAACGAATCTTATTTTCCTTGCTCTGTTTCCACCTAGTGCTCAAACTAAAAATTGCACTAAATTGTAAGTACGTTCTAGAATCTAACTGCAAATCAGTATGGGTCTCAGTTTTTAGGGAATCTGCATTACAAATAAGCAAATGGGTATAGTAAGATTAACTATTTCTTCTATAAAAAGGTGTTTCCACTAGCTCCCACATTAAATGCTGTCAAGTGTCTGATACAGTCTTTGCTGTATGGTCTGTTCGGAAACAAGAGGATCAGTTATTTGGTTTAAACATTAGAATCCCTCTTGTGGATGCAATTTTTGTATGAGTTCTGTTGTTAACTGAAGAGAAATTAACTCATAAAAATAAAAGAGCCACACCATGGTCATTTAGAAGCATTCATCACTCTCACAAGCAACCGTGTGCTCAAGATGAAGTCTAAAAGAGGGTAGCTAAACGACCTGAAGTTTTTGAGGCGAGTCTTTCCCCACGTATATCAGCCTATAAAGTACTTCTAACACTTCATAAAACTTTACTAACAGAACTGGAGAATTCAAAAACTCTATTGTGCTGCAGGAAGGAAAAAGGAGATTTTTAGGACTGAGCTATGAGATTTATCTTTTTTTCATGAGGCTGAAGACACAACTTGTGGATCTACCTTGTGAAATGTAGCAGGAAGCTTATGGGCAGATACAAGCATATACAGACAGTACAAGAGATGTTTTTAAATCTCATGCTCTAAGACAAAATATATTGCTCATATTTTGTGTTACATATGCTTAAAAAAAGGTAAAAATTACTGGTATTGCTTATCTCAAACAGCACTTCATACAACACAAGTATGGCAGTAACTCTGATAGCTATAAGATGGTTTTTATTCGTTATTGTAGCAAAATCTAGATGCAGCAATTCTGCTTATTTACCTGTTCTTACAACTAGCACAAAATAGCTGAATGACTCTTAGTTGTACCACAGGCACCACGTAAAAAACACAGGCAGGTTCATTCTCTGAGCGTCTGATCTGTAGGGAGATGGAACCTCCTGCTCTCAGAATTTGTAGTTTGGGCATTTTCTTTAGGAAAAAAGTCTTCAGCTCCTGCTTTTCCCTTGTGCTTTCTCGTTGACCACATGCAAAATATAAATGAGTTAATGCCCAGACAAAAAAAGAACTTCAGTGTCTTCCACTCAAGACAGTGTACTAACTGGTTCATTAGATAGGAGGCAGCACAGCTGTGGCCACCTTCTTTTCCCGGATACAAATCACAAAGGAAACAGCATGTCATGAGCTATGAACAAAAGAAGAGAGATCCCTTGCTACTGCACCAGCTGCCGTCACATTTATTTTATAATAAAGCATCTGCAGCAACTCTGATTTTTTAAGTGCTCAGCACTGACTGCAGGGTTAGGCAGCCTCTGAAAACGTGTTGCATCAAACTCTTCCCAGGTATTTGTCAGGGGAGTATTACCTCTGGATATTCCTCACCTGGTTTTGCTGCTCTAAACCAGCCAAGTACTTACACAGAGTATAGATGAATATGGCTAGAGAGCTGCAAATACAACTGCCTGCCTATGGAATTTACATTATTCTAGAGAGAGAAAATAGTTGGGCTGCAGGTTTTGAGTTACAGCTTTGGATTTAAATTTCATTGTATAGAACAATTTGTTAAACCTTTCAAAAGACTAAGTGCATAGGACTCTATAAGTCATCAATTTTCTAGCAGAACTACCTTTCTAAAACACGGGGTTATTTTTTCCGCTGTGAATATTACTGTGAACTCTGAGCTACAGAATGGCTTAAATCTGGGCCAGTTTCTTTTGTGCGATCTTCTTACTTGAATAGAAAACCCAAATTTATTTACAGGAAAATTCTCCTTATTTGTGAAATAATCTTAATTGAATAGTGCTTTAAATGGAGAATACATAGAGCAGAGAATTAACACCACTATTTTACTATGTTATCTGTTGCTACCCAAGAACCCTGTTCCTGAAAGAGAGCTTCTTTCATTGAAGCATAGATTGGCTTTAGTTTGAATTCTAAAATCACCTGTAAATTAGAGAAGGGATTGCTGTGGATGTAGCTCTGCACTGCAGAAGGCAGCCTCTGAAGAGGGTAGGGTTTTGTTTTGGATCAGTCAGGTGAGGGTTGGTTTGTTCTCTGCAATTGCTCCATGAGATGAAGACTATCTGAGTTTTCATATTACTTCAGGCAGAGTGGGTCTGAAACAATGTCCTCATGAGGGAATGGAAGTTACGACTCTGTTACGGGAGAAAACAAGTAATGCCAGTATCAAAAAGCAACTATAAACTAGCACAGGTAGAAAAGTCTGGGAAGCCTCAAGATTACCCAATATAATTAAAATTAGTATGTTCACCTCTAAGTAATTATTTGTAATAATATGTTTAGTATTTCTTACCCTATCATCCTTCAAGGAACTGCCCTTGGCAAAATAAAAACATACTTCCTTGTAGGATTGTGTTTATGTAAGTTGTAAATACTTAATAGATTGTGATTAAATGAAATTAGCAGTATGTAACATCTTCAGGCTTGTGTATATTGTCCTATCCTGTGATCTTTGGGCTAATGAGTGTCTGGATGAAAATATTTGGGTTTTGAGAGAGAGTGTGGAAAATTGAATCAATTAAATCAATTATTAGATGTAAAAGTAAGGGGGAACCTGAACTTCAATGTTTGTAACTCTTCAAAGGCTCTATCCTATTTTCAATCACTCTGTTGTGAAGGCTGGTGGAAAGAAGGGTATTTCTACTTTAAATGTTTTGCGTTATAGAGGTATGGACACACTAGATTAGACCTATACACCACACAGGGTAGCAATTTGTTACTGACAGAGCCCAGAGCTCAGAAGAAGGTGCAAGGACCTGCAGCCAGAAGTAAAGGCACTGCTCTCCCTCTAGCATGATGCTGATAAATCTGTTCATACAGTTTGAGCAGCCTCCTGAAGATTCATCTTGTGGTACCAGAAATAATGAAAAAACCCTCACAGGTTTTTTTGTCTGTTGTACTGAGTGGTTCCGAAATATAGCAGAAGCTTTCAAATCTGATTCTTCCTTGAAGCCTTGGGGTAACAAAATGTACGAGGTGCTGTGACTTGGAGGCACTGCATGGGTCTGGGAGGCAGAGGCAGCAATAGCTATGGCAAACCACAGCCCAAGACCCACACCCGGTCATGTTTAAGCACATGTACCAACAATCTCTACTTACTAATAGAGGTAAGCAGATAGTTCCTCTTATCTGTTACAAGGGAATAATGTAACCCCTTGCATTTGGTGCTGTTTTGTGAGGATTTCAGAACTTGCATCTGCTTTAGTGCCGAGTTTCTCCCTGGATTTATGGGGACAGCCTATGGAGGTCTCAACAACATTAGAGCGGTTCAAGGAAGGACACAAATAATCAGAGGATTCAGTGAGCTGTCTGCCACTTCCATGGGCATGCAAAGGTCTAAGTCAGGCTGCCTTCACCTGCCTTGTGATGCGTGAGGTTAGAGACCCCTGAATATGGATCCACCTGAAATTCTATTTGTGTTTGTGCAGTCACCTAGGAGTGGTCAGTACAAAAACACTGAGGGAAGAAAATGTGTAACATCTGGCTTGCAGGTGCCTTATTCTGAGCTCTATCCATCTGGAACCAGAAACAGATGGGTGTCCACCATCATTACTTCAAAGTACTGACTAAGGACCACTCCATTAAAGACAAATTGAGGAGAAAGTAATACAAGGGACATGTGGCTAGCTTGTGTTTAGAGGCTCTGCATGAACAGCCCAGGGGCCAGAGATGGGACTTCTCTGTCTGTATGCACACTGCTCATGACAACTGTAGAAAAGAAGTTTGTCATCTGGAACATTAATTTTGCCCATGACCATAGTTAAGCTCAGGAAACAGGTATTTATTTTTTACAAACACAAAGTTTACTGTGGAATTAAAATATGTAAAGCAGTGATTAAAATTTCCCTCATCTGTACATTATCTATGATGTCTGTTTCTAGTGCGTGGTCATATATTTGCCTGAATGCATATTCTGTACCTTGTTGAATAAATCAAAACTGCTATGGATTTCCTTTCATATTACTACTGCTGATGAGATCCTGTGCCTGCGTATTCAGATTATCTTGGACGTTCATCACAGAGCAACACCTTTATTACTTGCACAAAACTGCAAGTGACTAAATCCTATTTGCCGCAGTGGAAGCATTGCAATATAACATGCCTGTTTATTACGTTCAACTACTTAGCTTCAAATACGAATTTATACTCACATTTAAACATCCTCCTGTGTATGAATTTCAGGTTTTGGGCTTGTACTTTTTTTTTTTCAAACTTTGTAATAGTCATCTCTGTTGCAACAAAAGAATGAAAATAAATCAGTACATTTTAGTAATTACAATAAATTAATTAGAAGGCAGAAGTGGAGTTAGTTTACATTTCATTGACTTTATAATTATAGAGTTGCCAATGTATGGCTGATTACCTCCTTCCTTCTTGTTTGTTATTAAGTGAAGAGTTCAAGGAAGCAGTTATTCTTTTCTACCTACCATGGCTGTCGGAGACTTGGTTTGGCAAGTATGGGATAAAAAGAGGAAGGAAGCAGGTTAGCACTGTCCCATGAAGAGAAGATATACATAATTACAGAGAGAGAGAGCTTGGACTGTTTTTCAAAGGTATTAATTCTGGCTTGGTCTTCGCTGTGGGGAAGCAGGAGCTTAGGGTGTACATACCGCTTAGGGAGAAGAGAAATTTTTACGCATCATAACACATCATAAGAAGAAGGAAGGTCTGTGATTTAGATGGTTGAATCTAATCTAAGGAAGTCACTAGTGGTGTATCCCAGGGCTTAATACTGGGGCAAATACTATTGATCATCTTCATCCAAAGGGTAAAAGTGGGGTGTGGGAAAATTCATGGGTTGATTTAAAGAGAATAAAGGAAAGATTTATTTTATGTGCATGAGCAAAGCAAACCAAGGAATTCATTCACCACTTCCTATCAGCAGGCAGGTTTTTAGTGTTCTCCAGGAAAGCACAGCTTCATCACACCTAATGGTTACTAAGGAAGGCAAATGCTGTAACTCCAAATGTCCACCCTTTCTTCTTTTTCTCCAGCTTTTCTTTCTAAGCATGACATCACATGGTATGGCACATCCCTTTGATCAGTTGGTGTCAGTTATCTCAGATGTGTCTTCTCCCAACTTCTTGTGCACCCTCAGCCTGCTTGCTGGTGGGGTGGTGTGAGAAAGAGAAAAGGCTTTGATGCTGTGAAGATACATCGTTCAGCAACAGTTACAACATCCCTGTGTTATCAGCACTGTTTTGGTCACAGATCCAAAACACAGCACTATATGAAGTACTATAAGGAAACTATCCCAGCCAAATTCAGTACAGTCTGTCGTCAGGAGTAGTGGTGGAGAAACATAAGAGTATGTCATTTTGAGTCATTGACTACTTTGGAGTTCAGATGACTTCCTTAATACCTAAAATGATAAAGGTGCCTGTCACTTAAATCCCATCCTCAAGATTCACCCTTCCCAGTAGTGCCTGAAGAATATCAAAGACTACTAATATGAAAGCAAATACTGAGATCAGAAAAAAAAATCCATAGGAAAAGAAGATTAATGGGTAATAATTGGAAAACTGCCCACATTACTCAGTTATGTTTTTAATAATGTGTGTATGCATAGAGATTTGAGCTAAGTGTGATTTGTAGGTGAGAGGGAAGCTAATGCAGTACTTTTCTGATCTAAGGGACCAGTTGGAGAGCATGGAGAGCACAGTCAAAGGCAGGACAGGGAAGGCACAACTATTCCTTTTGGTGGGAATGTGGTAATAGATTGATTTAAACTGATAGTGAAACCGCACCCTTCCTGTTCACTGCAAAACCTATTGTCAACTTGATTTACTGGATCACTGCACTGTACAGTTAGATAAATGACTGATGCATAACAATCTCTGTGGTGTTTCCTGAATGCGTAGTCCCTACAGTTATACCTTTGACTGACCTCCAAAAACCCTGAGAAAAATTGTATTAGGAGGATATAATTGAACTTGGCCTATTGCATGAACTTCTAAGGGTTGCTTGTTTGTGGCATTGTCAACAAAGTCCGTGTTTCCTTGTTTGCAGCTAAGCAACCATCCCTTCTCAGCCTATGTCTTTGATTTTAGTTGCTCCTTCTGGAGCATAATTCAGATGTTATTCTGCTCAAATCACAAGCCATGTGGAAGGAATAGCTGACATGCCATGACATAGTTCTCATGTGACATCACTGCTCATCCTCTTCATTTGATTGCAGGTTTTCTAAAAAATGCAAAATTTCTGAGGAAAGTGTTGCTCTGTTTTTTATACAAACACGATCATTGCTCAAAAAGTGTAGGAAACATTAATCTTCATATACAAGGATACAGTTCTTGAAACCCTTCATGAGCACGGCTCTTGTAGGATTTGCATTGTCAGTATATGAGATCTGACTGATCTTTGACATTTTAGATCCTTTTCTGCTTGTCCCCATTTTTTCTTCATCATCTTCCTCCCTCATTTTTATTTCAGCTCCTCTTCAGTTTCTTTGTCACCTGCTTCCAAACTTCAGTCTCTGTCTGCTCTGCTTCTTCCAAACAATGGCACTTGCAAGTCACATCCTGGTTGTGCTCTTTTCATGGACCGAGTTTTGGTCTGGATAAAAATGATTTTTATGTGTGTCATGGTGCTCTTTTACTACCTTAGGAAGAAGGAATGTAAAATATGTATTTTCTCAAATAACCAAATACTGGACCTTTTGGTCTTGAATATTTCTGTTATACAGAATGTCACATTATAGTATAATGCCATGGGGCAGATCCAAAATTTAGCATATTTACAAGCTGAAGGAAAAATGTGATTTAAAAATGTTTCCTTGAGACTGAGGTTGAATCCTTCCAAGCAAAGACTTCAGTGTTATTTGCAATGATGGCAGGCTGACGTATGTATTTACATTGTTCTCTGCTAATTCTATTCTGCTACACTAAGCAATGGATTGAAGTGGATATACCAGTCATCTCTTGTGAAATCTGTTTAAGAAAGATTGCTCTCATTTTCAATTAGAATTATCCTTAGTTACAGTAAGATACCCAGAAGGAGAAAATACCAGGTAGTTCTCCAAGGCTCAAAGCCAATGCTAAATGTATAAAAGATTTAAATTATGTCCGTTCTCCATGTAAAACTTACAAAAAATATGAAAATTCAGGTTCAAAATTATGTGACTTTTGCCAAGGGTCCTGGGCACTTACAACCAGACTTTGGGCTGGATTATTTCAGACCTTAAAGTAGTGGCCCCAGCAACACTAGCAAATAACTTGTGTACCACTGTGAGTGGAGAAGTAGTTTTATCCAAGTGTTGCTTGTTTTGACCACATCTATATTTAAAGAAAACTGCAAGATTTTGTTGTCTGAACTTGATGGCATGTGAATCTGCTCTCCAAGGAGTGCGAAGAACAATTCTGGCAATTTCATTTCCTGACTGATGGCAAAAAGAGAAAAAAGACAGAGCGAGCGACCAGTGTGGCATGTAACTGCTACACTGGATTTTGCAGTATCCCTCAAATAGAGAGCTAAGGTGCAGCTCAGCTGTTTGTAACCACAGAAACAAAAATGTTATTTGGAAGGAAGGAGGAGGTACACAAAACCTATTACATCTCAAACCTGACAGTGTCTCTTTAAAATGTTCTTAAACCTGTTTAACACACCCCTACTTTTCGCCACTCCCTGGGAAACATGCACCTCTTATAGCAACTTGCAAATCAAGAAAAACCAAACCCAGCAATTCATTCTCCAGTGTGTGATGGCTGTTTTCACACACCCAACCAATTTAGCTACAACCCAGCTCGCTAACTTGGAGCTTTCTGCTTCAACCTGAGTTTAGCAGTATGAGTTTAGAAGTTTCGAAGATTCTGAGGAATTGCATATGTCAAAATGAAAATTAAGATGATTCGAATACTGTCATTTAGGCACAATGCTATGGACATTCTGCTTAGAGGTTCATTTATACTGGTTTGTCTGCAGCTCATGGGTTTGAGTAGAATAAATACAGTTACTGATGAGTAAAGTAGCTAAGCCCCAAAATTCAAGTCTTACTGTTGCCATAGCTAGAGGATTCAAATCCAGACAGATCTGGCGTATTTCTTCTAAAAATAGAAGGAATATTTCCTTTGTACCTGTGAATGAAAGGGATGTGACCCCGAGGAAAGGACAATGATTTTTTTTTTTTATTTCTCTCTCTCATCTTGCAATTTCTCTGTGGGTCAGACTCCCACATGGCCAGATTATAGTTTCCTTGTCACACTTTTTGTGTAAGTGGCCATGGTGCAGTAGGGAATCTGTTTTCTACCATGCATCACAGGACATGCAGTTTGCTTGAGAATGAGACATATTTTGATGTAGTATAGGTGCAGTATTGCTGAGGCTGCAGAATGAGCTTTGCGACCTGAGTTTTGTCCAGACACAGAGGAAAAAAAAGAGTCTGCATGATTGTTTCATTTTCCTTTTAATTTGGCCAGAAGTCAATGCTTTCTGCAAAGGCAGGAATTTTATTTGAAATCATGCCATTATATGGGATTCATCTAACATGTCTAGGTGTTTACAGTGTAGATGCCTACAGCTGACTTGTCATCTTAGGCTCCCTTTCAAGAAAGTGGGGAGAAATAGTAACCTGTAGAGCCCAATGTTCTGACCTACTTTAGTCATCTACATTAGAGTGAGATTATATTAGGGATGTCTTAAGTGACAAATGTAGAGGTGGGAGACTAGCTTTTGATGTAGCTTAGCTTTTTGTTAAATAGGGCCTATGATGGAAAGTCTCACCCAGCTCTGAGGAAACGAGTATTTGAAAATAGCTGTCACCAGTTTGGCTTCTCCTTTTATTGAGTAGAATTCAGATTATTTACTTAGGCATTAATTAACATTTCATTTTCTCAGGCTAATAGCCTGCACAAGGATCCAGAGCAACTCACACTTGAAATTATTGGGTTCTTCACAGTATGCTCCCACAGCACCATTGCCGGATCTGGAACGTCAGGAACTGATTAGAGACTTTATGATTACATCCAGATAATTATAATCTGTTCTGATCTTTCGTTTGTAATATGACCCAAATTATTTTGCAACTGTCCAGTTTTAAAGCCCAGCCTTGTTTTCATTACACTTAATAACCACAGGAACAAAAGCAAATGAAAAAAGCCTTCAGCTCAATTCTTTGGGTACCGAACATTAAAACTCATGTAAAAGATTGTTTCTGCCAACATTCTTTCCAAGGTACTCACAGTTTTGAAAACAATTATTCAGAAGAATATAATTTACACAGAATAAAAGGG